AATAATAATAATAATAATAATAATAATAATAATAATAATAATAATAATAATAATTGCTATTGTATTTCATAGTAACCTGGATTTGGAAATTTTTATTTAGCGTTAACGTCACAAACGCCTCTATCTTCTAAGCTTCAAGAGTCGATCGATTTCGGGTGCTTTAGTTTCCCTATAACTATCTCCAGAGCACACCCCTTGGGCATACATAAACAAATCGCTCTAGTAAATTCCTTGAATGAGCAGTATCTTAGCCAAATGATTGCAATCAAAAGGTATTAGGCCACCAGTAGACAAGCTAGTAACCAAGGATAATGATCAGAATGGTGGTGTTATGCATCGCCAGCAAGACTCCACTAAAGCCCACAGCCAGCCACCAAAGAGCCTCACTAAAGGTCCACACACTCCTTCATCAAAGATGACGAAGCAGGTGCCTCGGTTGAAGCGTGGTGACCGAAGCCCATGCAATGTAGCTTAAATCTTATCTAAATATTTATCGAATAAAGTTATTTTTGGCTTTTGTACAGATAAAGTCATTTAAAAACTTGAAACTAAAATTTTAAAAATAGAGAAAAGAAAAAAAAAGAAAAAAACTAAAAGAGAATATACTAAAGTCAAATAAAAGGTTTTTTTTAGGAAAAGAATTGTTTTAAAAAAAATTAATAAAACACGCTTAGGGGCATTAAGCAGTCAACTTAACAGTTGATCGCTTAATTCGCGCTTAATATCAAAGCAAAGCGTTTTGTCCGCGCCTTGCATCTATTTGCGTTTTTTAGAATACTGATTGAAACAAATATTCAAAATTTATAAGAAAAAAATTGAAGAAAGGAAAATAGATGATAAAATTGTAAGTAAGACAAATACAAAGTAAATACAATTACATAGACAAGTCAACAAAATATTGGGAGAGGAAGAAAAAATGGCATTGAAAGCTGTAAATGCATCCACTTGTCCATGGAAAGTTCAAAATTGCAAATTTCATGGAACAAGTAATGACATCTTCATATACTCATCAATTATCCTATTTCGCATGCTTATCTATTTCATCCAACTTCTTTAAACGAAAGCTTAGATAATTACACTTATCAAAATTAAGTGTTAAGAAGCTAAAGAGTTCTTGACGAACTTATAAAAACTATTATTATATTGTTTTCATTAATTGCAGATAGAAATAGAAGAGATACACTTCAAAATGCACGTAGTGGTATAATTTTTCATAAGATGGTTTAAAGGGAGCGGTAAGCAATGAAAGAACAAATGATAGATATGAAAATTTTGTACAATGTTTCAACGAATTAGTGTTTTCACGTCAATTCTACCACAAGATCATTTTCCTTTAGGGTTAAATAACAGAATGAACAAAATTTTAGTTTATTCTTTTAATATTGCTTAGTCTTATATAATCCACCTTATTGGAAGAGGCCATTTGGGTTTTAATTAATCGGGAAGCTTATAGCCTCTCCCTAAACTTCAATACTATGGAACTTAGATCCTCATTCAAAATTTATTGATAATCAAATTCTTGAACTTACAAGGAAAATTTCAATTTTCTTCCCCAAGATTTGTGAAATATAAAAAAACCACCCAAACCTTTTCTTAGAAGAATCTATTCCCAACTTTTCAATTATGTAGCAAAACTCGTATTCCATTCTGACCATTAAATGATAGATTTGTCATCGTCTTCAAGTAAATAAACATAAAAGAAACTGGTAAAATAACAAAAAATTGCAAATGGATTCCCGTAACTTTTCAAATGAATAAAAACCATTTCAATTTATATTAACTCTGTTGGAATACTTGGAATACTCTCCAGCCATGCCCTCAGCAGCTCACACGTTCCAGCTTACCTCCTGCACATGAATATTCAGCTCACCACAGCAGAGAGCACATCAGTTCACGTTCAGCACACCTTCTTCCAACTTCCAGCTTCTAGTTCCTTCTAGTCTTTTATTATGTTTGTTATATTGTTAGTTTGTTAGATAATTGGTTAGCTATTTTCTCTATAAATAGGATAGATTACATTTTATTTTCTTAAGTTTGAATGAATGAAATAGTTCTTCATCTTCCCTGCTTTATTTCAGTAGGCCTATCCTTCATTTTCTCTGTCTGTTATTTTCGTTCTTTACTTTTCAGCTTCAAATCTCATTTCCCTCCTTGATCTTGTCATTTGAAATTCATCTTCTTCTATATCATTTCTCAATTCAATAAAAAAAAAAAACGAAAATCAGAAACACAGCATTACCAGAAAACGGGAAAGTGACTTGGTTCACTAGATGCTCGACGAAATGTCGGAATGGATGAAAACTGAAGAATGTTGTTCCTCTTCATCAAACTAAAATGAAAATGAAGATGATTCGAAACAAGGATTTGTTTAATTGAAAACGGGCTTCTCAGGAAGCTTCACAACATGAATGATTTATTCCCTGGTAGGGAATCAAAAACCAAACTGAAATGAAAATTGAAGATCGAACCTGCTGGAATGGCAGGCATCTCAGATTTTCGGATTGATTTTATCTTCTGAATGAAGATATGAAGATTTTGAAGAAAGATTTTGAAGATATTCCTTCTCAAAAGGAGAAGGAAGATTAACCGAAAGAAAAAAAGGCAGACAAAGTGTCTCCTTGAACTGTCAGTTTATCGATTCTCAGGAGCAATCCCGACGGATCTTGGCAACCACACACAACTGGATATGGTTGATTTGCACGGAAACAAGCTTCAAGGAGAGATTCCTCAGTCTTTTGTTTCTCTGACTAAACTCAATGTGTTAGATCTTTCCATGAACAATTTACCACTATGCCAAAATATATAGGAAAGCTCACATCACTTAACAAACTTGTGCTGAGTGGAAAATTGCATCTCTACTCTCCTTCTCTACGGTTCAAGATGTTCCATCTTGAGGGGGGAGTGTTTGAATACTTGGAATACTCTCTAGCCATGCCCTTAGCAGCTCACACGTTCCAACTTACCTCCTGCACATGAATATTCAGCTCACCACAACAGAGAGCACATCAGTTCATGTTCAACACACTTTCTTCCAACTTCCAGCTTCTAGTTCCTTCTAGTCTCTTCTTATGTTTGTTATATTGTTAGTTTGTTAGATAATTGGTTGGCTATTTTCTCTATAAATATGATAGATTACATTGCATTTTCTTAAGTTTGAATGAATGAAATAGTTCTTCATCTTTCCTATTTTATTTCAGCAGGCCTATCCTTCATTTTCTCTGTCTGTTATTTTCGTTCTTTAATTTTCAGCTTCAAATCTCATTTCCCTCCTTGATTTTATCAAACTCATGAATGAAAATTCAGAAAAAGTTCACCCCCCACGCCCCCTCCCAAACGAAGCTCATCTGCACACACCTTCCCATACACCATCCATCCTATCCGCGGCCAAGCATTAGCTTGAAATACTACAAAATGGATTGACATTTTTCTATTAAAAATAATAATGCATTGACTTTTTTTTTTCTTTTATAAACCTAGCAATTTAATTAAATTATTCATGATAATGAAATCAAGAAAATTGTCTATTTTACATAATTATCATAACACTCGTTAAGATATGTTTGATGAATGTGGACACTGTACACCAATAATAACATGGTATGAATTTTTTTTCCGAAAAGAATATTTTGCCACTACACTCACGTGACGAACACAAGTGTATATACCCCCAAGGAAGAGGCGACCATAAGAGTGTGCAAGTTGAACGATCGCAAATTTACAAATTTTAATTTATTATTATTATGTTAAGCTAAATGACACAATATTTATTGAAAAAGAGTAAAAAAATTATAAAAAATAAATATATTTTTAAATAATATGTTAAATTAAAAAATTATTAACTTAATATAATTTTAAACTATTTTACTCTTGAAAAAAATATTTTAAATTATCTATTTTAACACCTCAATCCCAATTTTCCAATTAGTTTCAATAACAAATTACTAACCC